TTCGCCCCTGCTGTGCTCTTCAGGAACTTTGTCAACCACTGGGTAAGACCTGCAGGCACTATGAATCTGAGAACGTAATATATTTAATGAATAAATGTTAGGTCAAGTTGCTCTAAACATATTTCAACATACGCTGCCGTAACAAATGAATTTCCCAATTTAGGATGAATAAAGTCTATCATCTATCTATCTATAGAAATGAAAGAACATTATCTAACCTAAAGCTGCTGTTCTCTGCCTGCAGGTGTACTGGGTGGGGCCCATGATAGGAGGTGCAATGGGCGCCCTTCTGTACGATTTCATGCTGTTCCCCCGCATGAGGGGTCTTTCCGAGCGCCTCGCCACACTGAAGGGCAGCCAGCCCCCAGAGAGCGAGACCCAGCAGGACACCCGCGGGGAGCCCATCGAGCTCAAGACGCAAGCCCTATAAACCGGCCCCTGCCCCCCCACTGGGGCCGAGGGATGAGGGACAAGGACCTGAGCTACGCCAACCCCACCTCCGCCAACGCCCCATGCCTTCACACAACATCGCACTAGACTAACCCAAATACTCACATCTAGACTAACACATGACAACATTTATTTTCCATAGCCACTGAAAAAAAAGAACTACAAACAGGTTCACAACCTTCAACCTCAACACACAACAAGACTCCTCTACCCCCCAGTCCTCACTATTCTCAACTGGACATTGTGTTTTTCCTAAATGGTGACCAGAGCCTGAACCAGCAGCCGCCTCGTCTCCTCCCCCCCCCCACCCTCACCCGCCTGCTTCCTCCTCTCAGACGAGCTTTCATCTGCGGCTCAGAGGAGCGTGGAAACCCTGAAGTTGGGTGGAGAGGTTTATGGAGGCAGAGGGGAGGACAGAGGGGAGGATGAGGGTGAGGCGGGGATGTGGGTATGATATAAGAAGGGTAAGAGGGCATGGGGCAGATGAGGCTGGAGTTAAGGGGTGGGGGTGTGGGTTTTGGTTAGGGTAGAGAGGGCAACACTGGGTTTGTGGTCGTTTCAAGTTGGGTTAGACCAGTGAAGATGGGCATGCTTTTCATTATTCATCTGAATTTATCTCCATTTTAGTTTGTTTTTCTAGGTTCATTTTGTTTTCTGCACTTCAGACACAAGACGTGGATGTATGATACCATTAGATTTTACCAGGGTTTCAATATTTTCAATCACTACATTTTATCTGTGGGTTTGTGTTTGTGTGTGCGTGGGTGTGTGAGAGTGAGTGTGTGCATGTGAGTGCGCCTGCCTGTGCGTATGAGTGTGTTTGCAAGTGAGTGTGTATATGTGTGATCAAGATTGCAGATACAATACTTTTTATTTTGTTTTATTTTCATTACCGCTCTCCTGTTTTGTTCCATTAACTGTGTTCATTTTGTCATCAATTTTTAAGACATGATGATTACTCCTCCCCTCACTGTGGTATTTGCTATGATATTCATTTTTACATAAACCATCTGCTTTTTTGTTCTGAACCAGCACATCCAAAGGAAATGTTGTATCCAAGGCTTTGAGAGTAGATCTGTTCACTGCAGATCGCCTGTGCAAGCTTTACATTGAGTCTCCTTTATTATTTGATCCTTACTGGGAGCACAAGGTGTTTCAATAAACATTTCAATGATAATAAACATAAAAACTTGATACGTGGTTTGAGTCTTTTTTCTTCTTTTGCATTTTGTGGAGTTGGGCAAGGCCAAAAATATTAAGCTGCAGTTAATAATGTTGGCCAGGAGAGGGCGAAAAAGAGCTCACGTCACTCCCACGTTTAACATTTAATTAGTTCATGAATGGTTTTTGGACGAAAAATAATAATTTAAGGTTAACGTTCACAATGGGATATTTGCTTTATCTAAATAATATTTAACCTTACATTTTTATGCGGATGATACCGTGATGTATACTGTGCAGGTCCCTCCATTAAGGAGGCTGTTGTTGAATTGCAAGCTGTTTTTAACATTATTCAGACTCAGCTCGCTGAGCTTAAGCTTCTTTTAAATGTTGATAAAACCAAGGTAATGCTCTTTTCAAAAGCTAAACAGACACCAGAGCCTGTTTTAGATATTGTAAATACGCAAGGAATAATACTTGAAGTGGTTACCTGTTACAAATACCTTGGTATCTGGCTTGATGATTGTCTCACTTTTAAACTTCATGTCAATAATCTGCTTAAAAAAACGAGGGTTAGGCTAGGTTTCTTTTACAGGAACAAGTCCTGTTTCTCGCTTGAGGCCAGGAAAAGGCTCTGTGACCTTTTTACCTGTACTGGACTATGGTGATCTGATCTATGAATGCACCCATTACCTGATGAAGTTAGATGCCGCCTATCATAGTGCACTGAGATCTGTGACAAACTGTAAAGTATTAACCCATCACTGTATGCAAGGGCAGGTTTGCCTTCGCTAACTGTACGGAGGCTCAGTCACTGGTACATTTTTATATACAAAGCCATGTTAGGGAAACTTCCATCCTACATCTGCTCCCTGATCTCACGGCGAATTGAAAGTATTGCCTGAGATCGCATGCTGTGGTTTTGTTAAATGTGCCAACTGCTAGGACTGTCTTAGGGAAGATAGCTTTTAGATGCGCAGCTCCACTAACTTGGAACAGTCTGCAAAAGGAATGGAAGCTGAGCAATTTGGTTACACTAAATGCTTTTAAAGCAAGGATAGATGCTATCCAATCGGAAACTTTTGGAGCCTGTAAAGGGTGCATTCTAGATCGATCACCATAGTCCAGTACAGGTAAAAAGGTCACAGAGCCTTTTCCTGGCCTCAAGCGAGATAACAGGACTTTGTTCCTTGTAAAGAACCTAGCCTAACCCTCGTTTTTTTAGCAGATTATTGACATGAAGTTTAAAGTGAGACATCATCAAGCAGATACCAAAGGTATTTTGCTAACAGGTAACCACTTCAACGTATTATTCCTTGCATATTTGACAATATTCTAAAACAGGCTCGGTGTCATGTTAGCTTTTGAAAGAGCATCTACCTGGTTTTATAACATTTAAAAGAGCTTAAGCTCAGCGAGCTGATCATGAATAATGGTTAAAAACAGCTGCATTCAACACAGCCCTCCTTAATGGAGGACCTGCACAGTATACATCACGGTATCATCCGCATAAAAATGTAGGTTAATATTATTTAGATAAAGCATATCCCATGTGAACGTTAACCTTAAATTAATTATTTTTCGTCCAAAACCATTCATGAACTAAATTAAATGTTAAACGTTGGAGTGACGTGAGCTCTTTTCGCCTTCCACTGGCCAACATTATTACTGGCAGCTAATATTTTTGCCTTGCCCAACTCCACAAAATGCAAAAAGAAAAAAGACTCCAAACCACGTATCAAGTTTTTATGTTTATTATCATTGAAATGTTTATTGAAACACCTTGTGCTCCCAGTAAGGGATCATAATAATAAGGAGACTCATGTAAGCTTGCACAGGCCGATCTGCAGTAGAACGATCTACCTCAAANTAAATGCTTTTAAAGCAAGGATAGATGCTATCCAATCGGAAACTTTTGGAGCCTGTAAATGTTACTAGCTATGTAAACTGTAGTCGCTGTAAATATGCTGTATGATGTCCTTTTTGTTTTTCTGTTATGTTCATATGTATTCATGTGGAACCTACTTGCAGCAGGTCACCATTGAAAAAGAGATCAATGATTTCAATGGGATTCACCTGCATAAATAAAGGTTTGCAATGAAATGAAATCAAAAATGAGTAATAGTTTTAAGGGGTGACATTAGTTTGAGGCATATAGGGAGATGTGGTTAAGGGAGAGGTTGTTAGGTAAAAACAGGGTTTACCCAAAGGCGTACTATTGCTGGTCTTTGATAAGAAACACTTTGATTAATCTCCCTTCTGTTCTTGTCAACACTGCTGATAAACAACAGCATGACTTCACCCCCAGAGCGCTGACAGAACAAACACAGCCTAGTGTTATTCTCCATTTTATGTTCAACAATTCTCATGAAAACATCAGACAGTAAGTTCATTCTACTGTAAAGTATTGTCTGTTCAGGCAAAACCTGATATATCTTTGCCCATGTGCCATCGAGCTCCATTGTTCTGTCAAATCCGTAAATAAAACACATCAGTGAGCCACACTGTTGCACTGGGTGACGTTTCCCTTCATTATCGTGATCCTCCGCCTTTCTATTTTATTTTGAGATGAGCCTACAAACATTGACCTGTTGCTGGAAATCACTAGCGCGAATGTGTATCAGTCCGCAGCAGAAAATAGTCCCAAGCAAATACATCTTGAGGTGTACATTTTGAGGAGTGAGCTGAGATCCACAGACAAGCATGAGAAGTCTGAAAATATTGAGAGAAAGATTAAAGGTGTTTTCATAGGATTTGTTGTTAAAAAATATTGAAATATAGCTGGCTTTGTCCTTTAACTGTCATGACAGGTGGAAGAGAGATACAGTGCAGTCACATAAACGACAACAATCCAGAATGAATAGTTAATGACATAAAAAAAATAAAAATGAAAGTGCTTCCTTATTTAGATTCAGAAGCCAAGATAGATATGAGTAATATTAACCACAACAGTTATTATTAAACAGCAGCTGGTTATATTAATTAAGCAAAACTGGAAACAGAGGAAACAGCTTGGCTTAAATGTCCCAAAATCAGCCTAGCATCACCTCTAAAGCTCAGTAATTAAAACCTTACTTTAGATTTTGTTAATTTAATCTTTACAAACACAAAAGTGTCCAAACAACAATCCACTGTTTTACGGGGGCTTATGCAAGACAATTTCTAAGCCGTTAGCCAGCAAAGAAACAAGAGTTTTTCTTCTTTGTTTAAAAAAAAAATGTAATGTGTTAATTAGTGAGCTAATCATCTTCTTAGTGCGTTTCCTTAAATGTTAAACTATTCATAAAAACAATGTGATCCTCATCTCCAAACTTATTCGAATCCGTTTTTGTAGAGTATCTCAATGATAGACAAAATATCTTAGATGACTCATGTATGACCCTAAAAGTTCTTGGTAGTATCATGCAGCATTATATTTTTAACCACAATAACTGTAATTGAACCACAATTTAAAAAGTCTTATTACGAATATTCATTTTATTTTGCATATTTGTTTAAAATGTGATGTATGGCTTGGTTTATGACTTTACTAAGGTGGCGCCGCAGCACCGTGAGACTCCAGTATCATCACTGCACGACTGTCTTGTTTTCTGCAGATGGAAAAAACAAAACAAAGAAACAACTCTGAGCAGTACAATGGGCTGGAAAAGGAGCTCGGTCCTGACACTGGCGTATACTGCATCGCTCCATTTCTCTCTCACTCAACTCACACACAGAGACACCAAATACACTCACACACATTCAGTAAAAACATCACCTACATCCAAACACGTGATATGTATTGACAACTGTGTCATCTAAGTATCATTAAACCGAACAGTCCCCATAGACCAAATCTAGACACTGCTGCTCCAAATAGGCTAATAAGCTGCTGCTGAAACATAATGAAATGACTTTAGAGTGCTAACAAAGACCTTCTCTCAGTGATATCTAGCGGTAGCGATATAAAAACAAAATATCAGTGTTGTCTACCTTATTAATGCTCATCCTTTATCATCATAATTGCATATTCTGTTAAACTGTGATTATCACCGTGAAATGACTTGCCAGCGGTAGATGAAAGGGACAAAAGGGAGCATAATAAACATTTTGTTCATTAGAGATGAGAGATTAATCAGAATGACAAACACAAAGTGAACCAGGTGGAGAGAGATAGGGGGAGATCTTTAAGGCCGTAGACAGAAAGGTAACCTTGCAGAGGAGGTCATTGGACCTTCGTTTCTGAAAGAGGAACTCAGCTTGGCTAATATCCAGCATTCAGTTCAGTACCTTTGGAGAAACTGCAGCCGCAGCATCATGTCAAACAGACATATTTCTCTTTGTCTTTACATGTCCGCTCTCCAGCAGTCGGCCTGCCTCCAACAGCAGCAGTAAGATAAAAACGTCAAGATTACCAGCCGTCTTATTCCAGTCCCTGACGTCTGCCACGTATGAAAAACATTCAGATCGTATGCTCATGACAGTAGCATCAGAACATTTTCATCCACTATTACAACAATAATAATAATATATATATAAAAAGACAGGAATGAGAGTGTTTTCTTAAAGCCCTTTTGATTACGTCACACTCTCTCCCTGGTTATCCAGTCTCATCCTGAAGATGAAGACGAAGTCATAGGTCAACAGTCACGCTGCTTCGAATCATCAGTCCTGCAGCTGAGGGTCGCTCACTGCATGCGGTCGGGCTGGTGCAGGGGGTAGTGCAGGAAGGCCTGCGGGGGGGCAGACATGGCGCTGAGTGCAGCCAGGGAAGGATGCATAGCGGTCGGAGGGGTCGGGGACGCGGTGAGAGTGGGCGCCGACGTGCCGGGGGAGAAGCTGTAGCTGAGGAAGCCGGCGGAGGGCGAGGGTGAGACAGCGTAGGGGTACTGCTCCAGCCCGGGGTGGGCGTAGTGGCTATAGGCGGAGCTGTAGTCCAGGTAGGGGGAGGCGAGCGCTGCTGAGGGGCCGAGCTGGGACTGCAGAAGCAGGCTGGGCTGCAGGAAGGCCTGGGGGTACATGTACTGCTGGGCCAGCCTGGACACAGAGGACATCATCAGTCAATTGGTGGAGAAACAGAACATTCAAAGCCATCAATAATAATAGAATCACAATTGTATTCTGCATTTTGTATATTTTGTAAGTAATTACTGTTGTCTAATTTTTTTTTTTCTTATGTAGGCCTACTTTTAGTTATTTTTGTTTTTAAAAAAAAAGAAAAAATGTTGTGCTTTTGGTTGTAAAAATAGAAACATAATTCCATTCTTTCTCGTTTAATTTCTGTGTAAATACAACAAAAATGTCATGTTCCAGTTTCTCAAATAAAAATTTCATCTGGTGTACTGTAATTGTAAAATTAACAGCTTGTGTTTTATGGCAGGTCTATCTAAAGAAGCATTTGCAATATATAACATGTAATATTGGTATCTATATTTTATATATTGGTACTTTTATAGTGTTTAATCTCTAAATTATTTGGTGGCACCCAAAGACTATAAATCTTAGTTTTATAGTCTCATCTTAATAATCAGTCTATGGTGGTACCTGACTGAAGAAGCAACTACAGTTTTATCGTTAAGCCAATGACAATAGAGCTCTTAATGTTTTTTTGTTTATATGACATTTTCATATTTTTACATGTTTGCAAAAAATGGAAGAAATTACAGAGGACTGACACATCCAAATCTGTGTCTGAATATCCGATGACAACGCTGCAAAAATATGGATAATGTGTGTTCAAAACGTTGTATGGTGTGAGATCTTCAGATTAGTAAGTGTCAGTTAAAAAACAGTAATCAGAGACAGACAAACAATCAAAGCCAGCAGCTGCACGTTTCAAAATGAACAAACAGACTGTAGTTTATTCACTAATTGTGTCCCAAGATTAAAAAGCTTGAGTCCTATTAAGGCGTCCTCTTCCTCCTTTAAGAGCAATTATCAGCACTGTTGCCTGAAAATAGACCTTCTCCCTTGTGTTTAAGCTTAATTAGCACACTTTCTGAGAAATACTCAAACGATTTGTCCCAAATAAAACATCACCCAATCAAAAACGCTCAATAGAAGAGAGAACCTAAATCAGAATGTTGTATTTCTAAATTTGACATCTAAAATGTCATTTCTGAATTGTATTGCCTGCGCACACACGCACGCACACGCACGCACACGCACACGCACGCACACGCACGAGCTGCCACGACAGATGTAGTGTAAGACAGTGTTGATACTCGGAGCCACGGCAGTAATGAGAGAAAATGTTCTCCACTGTCCTCCTGTATTCACTCATGCCCTTGCCTGAGGCTGCCCACTTAACCTGAACTGCCTCACTTACATCTGGCAAGAGCAACAGCGATAATATCAGAGGAACTGGGTTATTCTGCTTAAGTAAAAACAACCAAACATGACAGACTTTAACACTTTCGCTCCCGTGACCTGCGCCTAAAGACAAAACTGTTAACCTGACAGTAACCTTGTCACTGAGTCTGAAGTCAGAGCTGCTGCTGATGCTTACCCACAAACAGAGCCAGAGCAGGGATCAGATGCTTACACAACAAATAGAGGGACTTCACACTCACTCTGCTGTGTACACAACACACACAGGTACACACCAGTGTGTACAGTATGCCTGCAAACATTCCTTCCGAAATGACCCATATTTTAGTTTATTTAACCTTACTGAGTCCATCTGAGAATCCTGAATTCCCCCAGAATTATCCTTGATTAACTTGAATGTCTACCTGAAAAAATAATCTATGTATCTGTTCTTTCTTATAAAAGCCAAACTAAATAATACTTCACTTGATTTAACAGTTGATTTTAGGCTTTTATAAAAGGGTTATCTATAAGGTGTTTGTGTTTCACTGTTATTCCCACACAGTTATTTTGATACAGTTTACATTTTGTAAACCTTTTAGAACTTAAAATACATTTCAAATAAAGATTGTCTGGATTGTGTCTTTATTTCTCACTGAAAGGAAAAATCGAATAAACAGATTTTAGGAAATACTTTTACTTGATTTCTTGCCAAAGTTCAGAAAGAAGCCAATGTACGACCAATATGGAAGACAAAGACTACAAACTAGATGTATCCTGCTGTTATACATATTTATGATGTATAATGTTTAGAGCTCAGTGGGAGTTGTTGTGTCACGCTCCTTCTACAATCTAGATTTTAGTACGGCCTTAAGTCTGAAAACACTAGCGGCGTGCAGGCAGGGGGTTGACAGGGTCCTGGTAACATAAACAAACATCCCCACAACAACTGTCATCACATTCCGTTTCTAATGTTCCTCTGAATGCTGCACAGAAATATGCTAACAGCAACTTTTACCAACTGAGCCCTGTCCCACTTTAACCAATGAAAAAAGCCTACAGATAAACATTGGGGAAAAAACAGATATCTCTTGTTTTACCAAACCAAAAACTGCTTTAAGTTGCTGCCATTTTTTTTTTTTAGAAAAACATCAGACAGTAAGAGTAAGTATCTGACTGAGAAAATTGGTTTTTCAAGACTATAAAGGGAATCAGCACGAAAGCAGCACCTTGACGGAGCGTTAAACCTGAAGACTAACAACATACAACATCACATTAAGTCAAAGCCCAGCTGAAGCTAACGTCGCCCCCCCATGACCCCTGTGAATCCCCTCTCCCCTCTCCAGCTCCGTCAGTCTCTCCCGCAGCAGAAGTGCAGCGTCATTCCCATGGCTGTGCGGCGCTGCCTGACAGATTTAATGTGACAGCGGCATCGTACGAGAGAGGGAGCTGCGCCTCACATTTTCCCCTCCCCATGCCTGGCATCATTGCTGGCTGTCAAACACACATTTATATATACAGTACACACACGTAAGCAGGGGTGTAGACAAACATGCACGCAAACATTCACATCAATTACAAAGCACCCATGCAGCAAAAGTGAACATGCAAGTCTGAGAGAAAGAACACTTAATGGGTTTTGTGTAGTTGGTTAAGCAGCTTAGAAAAGGATGTGAATGTGTGTGTGTGCGTGCGTGCGTGCGTGTGTGTGCGTGTGCGTGTGTGTGTGTGTGTGTGGGGGGGGTGGGTCAGGCACAGCAGGGCTAATTGGCGCAGCTGTATGGGTTTAGCTCACTAACAGACCCATGAGAGTAAAATAACCTCCACTGACTCCCCTCTCCAGGTTTACTCCCTCACACCCGGCTTCCTCTGCACTCCCCCTCACAGACCTTCCTCAAATCAAGGCGGCGGGGATAACAGAGGAAGAATGTACTGAATAAAAATTAAAAACGGGGTCGAGGTCGGGACTCGTTGGGCGAGGAGTGAGCGGGAGGGAGAGATGCTTAGAGGATCACCCATCATATCCCTCATGCCTCAGGACAGCCACGCTTTTAATAGTTCAGATCAGAGATGTGAGGAGGGTGAGTCACTCAAAGAGACAAACAGACATTCATGGAGACACACACACATGACCCTTCGTCCTCTCTCCATAAACCCACACACACAGCTGGAGGGAGAGTGAGAGATAGAAAGGCCAACATCAGCGCTGGACACTCAGCCCTCATGTCAGCAAGGAAAAAGACATCTGAATTAACATATTAATACAAATAGCGCTGCGTGGGGTAGAGGAAATATGACTTGTTTACCGAATCTTATTAAGGCAGTGTGGGTAAAGCTAATATTAATATGCTTAAGATGGTATGTGCTCAGAGTGTCAAATCTACAAATAAATATATGTGTTTTCAAAGCTTAGTTTCACTTGTTAAAATCCAGAAAGCATTTTAAATAATCCAGTGCTGATCTTATAACAAGAAACTAAACAACAATTATAACCTCAGTTAATTTAAACTTCAACTAACCTTTATTAAGAATTTACAAGCATTATTATAAGCAATATGTTAATGGTTTCTGATACACTATAATGTGGCTTTAGCAGTTATAACAACACAAATTAGTCTACTTGTCAAGCTCTTCCTAAAAAAGCACCTGTAACTTGTATAATAGTTAATTATAATTAGACAATATACTGGTTGTCTTCATTCAACATATATCCAGCACGAAATACATCATATTTATTCTTTATTGTAATTTAATTATGAATAAATATACTACATAGACACAATTATGTGTTTCTATCCATACTGTTATCATGGATTCATTAATGATTTATCCAGGTGTTTTAATGGTTGCCAAGTACATGAATTAGCACCCTTATTTCTGCCTACAACTAGATTATAATGTGTGAATAAACCATTTATGACGTGTCTATTTACTGCATGCTAAATGCTTACACATTACAAGCCGTTTAGAGGTTTTTACCGTGAAGCACCTGCAGGTAAATGATGTGTAAATCAAGTGTTGAGTTAGCCATCTCATTAAATCTAGATTTGTATATTTTCATGCCTATTCAGTTTACGGCTCCAACAAAGTACTACATTTTGAATATAGATCCAAATGTTTGTCATCTTTTAACAGACAACTGAACAAAATGGGAGCTTTCTGTGCTATGAAAAGCATCAAACAAGACCTTTTTTCATGTTCTTCAAATTAGGCTTTCATGCGACAAAAGTGCCTCTCCTAATTGGGTCCCCGGATAAGAGAAATATACCCCGGAGGATTCACTGTTAACCTGAACCCCCTCGACAGACAGATAAGAGTGATAACTTCAGGCTGAGACAGAGAGATAATTTAGAGGGGGAGGAAGGCAGCTGAAGAAGAAGAGAGAAAATAATCAGAGACGTACTGTAGAGAGTAAACGGTCGGGGGTGTGTGAAAGCAGTCGACATGTTTTATGTTTCCTCAAAAAGACTGAGGAAAATGTTTCCCTCGAACACAGGAACGAGCTCCAGTGTCACGTCTATACCGCCGGCCCTAAAGCTTCACTGCACCCAGACAAAACCACGCCCGGCCACAGGTGTGCTGTTAGTCTGTCTCCCCCCCTCCTCCCACTGCTTCAACAGGAAGTACTGCCGCCCCCCACCTTAAACCGCACATCTCCTTTCTGTCTGTCAAAATAATAAACACCAGAATGTTAAAGAGGAAATGTAATTTCACTTCCGTCAAGCAGC